ACAATATTTCACAATGGGTATGAGTTTTTTTTCTCAACGCAAGCTTCATCCTTTTCATAGCATAAGTAATTCTAATGAGCATGTCAAAAAAGTTCATTTATCACGTCGACTACCACACATGGTTCCAATGTAATTTGTCAAATCTGAAAAACCTGAGGTGCTTCTTCTTGTGGTTTGCCTCATAAGAAGCTTCTCTCTTTCAACCTAGTCAGGAATGCCACATTTTTGCAGGTGACATCAAATGATACCTTTTGAAACTTTGTATTTTGAAGTTGACAGTTTGTGTTAGAAGTCTGCAACTACAACCTTTGGATTCATAATTCCTGAACCACATGTCTTATAGTCCATGCATGCAAGATATACAGTACTTGAGTCCTCTTCCTGGCATGGTTTACACTACACTGGAATCATATTTCTTAATAATTAATACTGTAGTGCTAAGTAAGAGATTCATCTTTTTGTGGATTCTTTTTCAGAGATTTTACCAATTTGAAGAGGTCAGTCACCATTTTGCTACATTCTTCAAAGACAATCTGGCCTTAACCATGATCATCTATGCAACTATTGAATATTTTCTATTTTTAATCTCATTTTATATCCCCAAAAAACAATATGTTTTTGGAGGCCTCTCTATACCTCTGGAGGCATCCATTGTACTTCCAAAGAGCAGAATGTATAGTAGATTTGCTGTAGTTTAAAATAACAATTGGAAGTGTGAATAAATATGACATGTCTGTGTTATGAAATTCAATTAATTTTAACAAAACTGTGCTACTACAATTATATGTTTACATATTTTTAAATCAATCAAAATAATATCCCATCCAAAATTTATATTGTACTTTTTGTTCCTATTTCAGCAGGGGTATAAATCTGGGGAGCACTTTATACTGTTCTGTTTGCCTTTTTATTGCTTCCCCACATTGTCTAGAAGACTCAAATGGTATCAACATTAAATTGCAGTCTTTTTCATTGGTAGCTTTTATAAACTTCATGTTTTTTTAATCTTTAGAGCTTGTTTTCAATAATTGCTTGTAGAGAAGTACAGAGTCACATGTTTGCCTTGGATTACTGTAAAAAATACAGTATCTATGTCTTTTTCAAACCTTGTATATCCAGTTATTCTTATATTTATAGTTTGTTTTTTTCCTATGTACATGTTACACTCCATCCTTTGCATTAAATGTCATGTGTCAGACCTTTGTCCAGTTTTAGAGTCTATTTTCAAATTTCCTTTACAGCTTCTACTGTATTGCTAATGCTCATATTTTGCCATCATCCACAAACCTGACTAGATTACTACCTGTACCAGAATTAAAAAAAATAAAATAAAATAGGTAGTTCGGTGATCTGTTAATAAAGATCCATTTGGTACTCTGCCAATTAAATCACCCCAATTAGAGACTTTGCCCCTTACCTGTACCCTTTGGGTTTCTCTGTGTTCTATCTATTAATCAATTCTTAATCCAGAGACATGTATTTCCTTGAATGTCTAATAATTTAAGAATTTTCTATGAGAAAGGTTTATTAAAGGTCTTCTGAAAGTCTAAGTATACCACACCTTGCACATCATTGCAGTTGCTTGTTCAAAGAACTCAAAGAAATTAAGCAAGGCCTGCTTTTTCTAAATCAATGTTGACAAACCTGCCAATTAAGCAACTGATCAATTCAATTTAATCATTCAGAGTTCAGCCTAAATCAAAATCAGATACTGTGGCTCTTGAGGACCAGGGATGCAGATCCCTGTGTAAAATAATTTGCTCACTGAAGGAGATGTTAAATTGGGCAAGTCCATTTCACTTGATGAATGAAGAAATGTACTTCAAATTATAAACAATGGCACAATACCCAACAAAAACGGAATCCTAGCTAAATCATTAAGGAGTTGGGGATTAGGACTGATTTTCCTTGAAACAATATATTTAGCAGATAAAAAGTCATGTTTATGTTTGATCATAACCTTAATAACCTGCTGTGATTTCTCTATTTCTAAAAAAAGGTAAGGATTTTATTGATTCAATTTTTTTTAAATCAATA